CGCCCCCTCGACCGCCTGGAAATCAGCCAACAACGACTCGACCCAAGGTACCGCATGCTGAGACACAACCATGTAGTCCAACATTCGCCCCGAGCCCAGCGCGCAGGTATATTCCGCATTGGTGGGGGCGACGATCGCACCGTTGACCATGGCAAGCCAGCCTGTGCTAGCCAGCTCCTTTGGCGTCATATTCCAATCACCGATGGCCAGCCATGGCCCCTGGATCGTAGAAACCAGAGTGCCGACATTGACCAACTTAGCAGCATTCGCCTCCGGGCCCACCGACGAGGTCATGTACACTCCCACAATCAGCAAAGACTGGCCTTGGGCCCTCAGCTGCATAGCCACCATGTCCCGAAAATCAATGCCAGGCTGGTCCTTCGGACCGCGGTCCAAATCTCGCAACCCGACCCGATCCGAGGGCGAAGAAGCTAGGTGGCGCATCGACTGAACCTTGTACTTCTCAAGGGTGCCCATGGTGATGCCTCCTGCCTTGGACTTACCATTCGACTCGTAAGCCGCAGAGAGCATGCCAATGTAGCCAGCCTTCCTCCAATCATGCAACAAGTCGTGTGACCCCGCAACTGGAACGTGGGTCTCTGGGAAGACAAGGATATCCGCTGCACGATCACGACAGACCGTCCGCGCGGCAGGGCCCCATCCACCCAAGTTGCGCATATACAACGTTCGCCTTGAAGACGAACAGGTAGGGGTCGAACTTGTACGTGGTAAAGGCGGGCTCGCCCCTCGCGCACAAGGCCCGCCGCGAACGAGGGGATCAGAAAGGCTAAAGGCCAGACTGGCCTGCCGAAGCCGCCGTCGACCTCGCTGTGGCCAGCAACGCCTCCGCCTCCTCCTTCAGCTTGGACTCAATGGTCGCCAAACGGGCAGCCTCCACTGCATCAGGTGCTCCAGGAGCGGTCGCCGCTGCGGGCGCATCCCCACCAGGGGCGGCCGCTGGCGCCGCAGCCGCTGCAGGCACCGCAGGCGCCTGGCCCGCAGCCTGCGCAGCGGCGTCGCCTGCAGGAGCCGCGGCTGCCCCAGCAGCGGCGCCTGCCCCAGCAACGGGCGGTGGCCCAGGGGAGTATCCCTGCGTAGTAGTAGTAGTAGTAGTAGTAGTAGTCGTAGTAGTCGTAGTAGTCGTAGTCGTAGTCGTAGTACTAGTAGTGGTGGTGGTGGTGGTGGTGCCAGTAGTAGTGATAGTAGTAGTAGTAGTAGTAGTAGTAGTAGTAGTTGTATTAGTAGTAGTAGTAGTAGTAGTAGTAGTAGTAGTCGTGTCGTCGTAGTAGTAGTAGTAGTAGTATTAGTGGTAGTAGTAGTAGTGGTGGTGGTGGTTGTGGTGATTGTGCTAGTCGTAGTAGTCGTAGTAGGGCTAACCGGGGGATGGTGGCCGGGGCGGCGTGGGGGGGGCGCGGGGGGGCGCGCGGGGCGCGCGGGGGCGGCGGGGGGGCGCGCGGGCGCGCGGGGCGCGCTGGAACGCGCGGATAACGCGCGGTGCGCGCGGCGCGGACGCGGGGTCCTTCTGCGAAGGCGCGTGGGCGCGCGCCGGCGGGCGCGGTGCGCGCGGGGCGCGCGGGGCGCGCGCGGCGCGCGGGGCGCGCGGGGCGCGCGGGGCGTGCGGGGCTTCCTGGGAAGCCGCCTTAGGTTTCCTGGGAGGCCTCTTGGGTATCCTGGGGGGCTCGCTGGGCCTCCTGAGAGGCCTCTTGGGCCTCTCGAGGGGCCTCTTGGGCCTCCTGGGAGACCTCTTGGGCCTCTTGGGAGGCCTCTTGGGCATCCTGGGAGGCCTACTGGGCCTCCTGGGAGGCCTTTTTGGCTTCCTGAGAGGCCAATTGGGCTTCCTGGGAGGCCTATTGGGCCTCCCGGGAGGCCTCTTTGGCTTCCTGAGGCCCCTTTGGGCCTTCTGGGAAGCCTTTTGGGCCTCCTGAGAAGCTTCTTGGGCCTCCTGAGAGGCCTCTGGGGCCTCCTCAGAGGCCCCTTGGGCCTTATGAGAGGCGTCTTGGGGCTCCTGGGGGCCTCCTGGGAGGCCTCTTGGGCCTCCTGGGAGGCTTCTTGGGCCTTCTGGAAAGCCGTTTGGGCCTCCTGAGAGACCTATCGGGCCTCCTGGGACGCCTCTTGGGCTACCTGAGAGGCCTCTTGGGCATCCTGAAAGGCTTCTTGGGCCTCCTGGGAAGCCTCTTGGGCTTCCTGGGAGGCCTATTCGGCCTCCTGAGAAACCTCTTGGGCCTCCTGAGAGGGCCCCCCGGGCTTCCAGAGAAGCCCCTTAGGCTTCCTGAGGGGCCTTTGGGGCCTTTGGGGCCTCCTGAGAAGCCTCTGAGGCATCCTCAAAGGCCTGTTGGGCCTCCTGTGAGATTTCTTGAGCCTCCCGACAGGCCCCTTGGGCATCCTGAGGGGCCTCTTTGGCCTCCTGAGAGGCTTCTTGGGCCTCCTGAGAGGCCTCTGGGGCCTCCTGGGAGGCCTCTTGGGCCTCCTGACAGGCCTCGAGGGCCTTCTGGGAAGCCTCCTGGGAGGCCTGACGACGAGGGCGTGATGATTCTGATTGAGGCGGTCGAACGGGACGAGGGCGTGATGATGATGATGATGATGATGATGCCGATGCTGATGCTGCTGCTGCTGCTGATGATGATGATGCTTATGATGATGATGGTGAGTATGATGATGGTGATGATGATGATGACGGTGACGATGACGACGACGACGACGATGACGACGACGATGATGATGGTGGTGATGATGATCATGATGATGGTGATTCTGCTGGTGGTGATGCTGATGCTGATGGTGGTGCTGATGATGATGGTGACTGTGATGCCGATGCTGCTGCTGGTGGTGATGATGACGATGATGGTGGCGGTGGTAGTGGTGGTGATGATGCCGATGCTGACCATGATGATGATGCGGATGATGATGATGTCGGTGATGATGATGATGGCGGTGGTGACGATGACGACACCACCGCCATCACCAAAATCAAACATCATACACCAAACATCAAACATAATTCAACATCAAACATCAACCATCATTCAGCATCACAGACCAAGCATCAAACATCAGGCACACTTAACCACCATACATCTTACATAATCAAACGCCATACATCATTCATCATACATCATCATACATCATCATACATAATCATACACCACCATAAATCATCACACATCATCATACATCACCACACATCATCGTGCAACATCATCCATCATCATACACCATCATACCTCATCGTACAACATCATACATAATCGTACACCATCCTACATCATCGTATTTCATCATACACCATCATATATCATCATACACCGCCATCCATCATCATACACCATCATACATCATCATACACCACCGTACATCATCATTCATCATCATACAGCATCATACATCTCACATGAAACACCCACACCCACACCCACACCCACACCCACACCCACACTCACACCCACAAGCCGTTGGAAACGCGAAACCTCCATCACCACCCTTAAGTCGCCTCACGGACGAACTGCCTGGCCACCATCCCCCGGTCAGCCCTAGTAGTAGTAGTAGTAGTAGTAGTAGTAGTAGTAGTAGTCGTAGTAATAGATGTAGTCGTAGCCGTCGTCGTCGTCGTCGTCGTAGTAGTAGTAGTAGTAGTAGTAGTAGTAGTGATCGTCGTCGTAGTCGTAGTCGTATTATTATCATTATTCGTCGTAGTAGTAGTAGTAGTTCCATCTAGCCTCACTTCCGAGACCTCAGCCGTGGGGTCACGTACAAATCGATGAAGAGCTCCACAACCCAGGACGGCCTGCTGGTGCACCCAGTCGCGGAAGGCTTGGTGCCGCTGCCGCGCAACAGCACGCTGGGCCTGGCCCGAGGCCGCACGCGCACCTTCGGCGAACTTCATCAAGGAATCCTGCGAGGCTCCATCCAGCGTGCGTAAGCTCCTCAGCCAACGATCCCGTCGGCGAGCAGGAAGAGGGACCATCTGCGAGGATGGAATCGACCCTGCAAGATGTCGCAGCTGATCTCGCAGGTGGCGAGCACGGGGAAAGTCTCGCTTATCTCCCTTCTGACCGACAAGTTCGTCCAGCAAGTTAGCTACCGTCCCCCACCATATGGCACTGGGGTCAGCAACTGTAGGATAAGGCTTGCTACCTTCAAAACAACCAAGCTGAGGGCCCCGAAGCTGAGCTCGTCCACAATACTGTCTTCTCGCCATGGGGTCCACCTTATACAACTCGAGGTAATACAACTCCATGGTGGATACCCAGGTTGCGAATTCTGGACCAAGAGCCTGAGCGCCATCATCAGCAGCCTGAAATGCCACGGACTGCTGAACAAAATCAGGGACAGGAACCACTGATTGCGAAGGCCTGGGCGCCACCTGCTGCCACAGCAAGTCCTTCGCCTCAGCAGGCCATTCTGCCTGGATGGAAGCGTAGGTGTCCAATTCAGACTCCGAGACGGCCACCTGCTCATCGTCGTTATCGTCAGGGACATCCGTATCTTCCTCGTCCGTGAAAAACTCGTCTTCGTCCTCACCAAAGAGGGAATACTGCAAGGGCGGAGGGCTCCGGATACTCAGCTTACGCCTCGGCCCCCACGTCGGCGGAGACGGCGTCAGCGCTGGTTGGGGGCGGGCATCCCGAAGAGCCTGGGCCCCCGCTTTCTTCCGCGAGCGCTTGCTGTCGGGGTCAGCGACAGGCCTTGGGCGACCAGGATGAGGGAAAGCACGAGGCAACCGCATGATCCAAGCTCTGGCCCGACTGGCGTCGAAGTTGAGCTGAAGCTCGAGACCGTAGTGAGCCTTCCCCGCCCCCTCGACCGCCTGGAAATCAGCCAACAACGACTCGACCCAAGGTACCGCATGCTGAGACACAACCATGTAGTCCAACATTCGCCCCGAGCCCAGCGTGCAGGTATATTCCGCATTGGTGGGGGCGACGATCGCACCGTTGACCATGGCAAGCCAGCCTGTGCTAGCCAGCTCCTTTGGCGTCATATTCCAATCACCGATGGCCAGCCATGGCCCCTGGATCGTAGAAACCAGAGTGCCGACATTGACCAACTTAGCAGCATTCGCCTCCGGGCCCACCGACGAGGTCATGTACACTCCCACAATCAGCAAAGACTGGCCTTGGGCCCTCAGCTGCATAGCCACCATGTCCCGAAAATCAATGCCAGGCTGGTCCTTCGGACCGCGGTCCAAATCTCGCAACCCGACCCGATCCGAGGGCGAAGAAGCTAGGTGGCGCATCGACTGAACCTTGTACTTCTTAAGGGTGCCCATGGTGATGCCTCCTGCCTTGGACTTACCATTCGACTCGTAAGCCGCAGAGAGCATGCCAATGTAGCCAGCCTTCCTCCAATCATGCAACAAGTCGCGTGACCCCGCAACTGGAACGTGGGTCTCTGGGAAGACAAGGATATCCGCTGCACGATCACGACAGACCGTCCGCGCGGCAGGGCCCCATCCACCCAAGTTACGCATATACAACGTTCGCCTTGAAGACGAACAGGTAGGGGTCGAACTTGCACGTGGTAAAGGCGGGCTCGCCCCTCGCGCACAAGGCCCGCCGCGAACGAGGGGATCAGAAAGGCTAAAGGCCAGACTGGCCTGCCGAAGCCGCCGTCGACCTCGCTGTGGCCAGCAACGCCTCCGCCTCCTCCTTCAGCTTGGACTCAATGGTCGCCAAACGGGCAGCCTCCACTGCATCAGGTGCTCCAGGAGCGGTCGCCGCTGCGGGCGCATCCCCACCAGGGGCGGCCGCTGGCGCCGCAGCCGCTGCAGGCACCGCAGGCGCCTGGCCCGCAGCCTGCGCAGCGGCGTCGCCTGCAGGAGCCGCGGCTGCCCCAGCAGCGGCGCCTGCCCCAGCAACGGGCGGTGGCCCAGGGGAGTTATCCCTGCGCTTCTTGGTGATCTTCTCGCGCATCTCCGCGAGCTTCTCCCTATGCTCCTTCAGCTTGTCATGAGCCTCGCCGAAGGTGGTACGCAGGGTGTGCATCAGCGCCTCCATCACCGCCTTCTTACGCTTGTCCAACTCAGCGACGTCCGATGGGGGAATGAGCCCATCTGCATTACTGAACTCCTCGCCCAATAGGGGATACCCCCGCCTGTGCAGGAGTCTGAGCCCCCACCGAGGGCACCATCGAGCGGAACAGCCTGGCCCTCTCTGCCTCAGCTCGGGCCAAGGTGGCTGCTGCATCCTGCAAGGTAGTCTTGCACTTCTCAAGCTCCATCGTCAACTTGAGCTGCTGAGACTGCGCCTTGTCGGACGCCGTCTGGGCCTTCTGCACCTTCGACGCCGCCGCCGTCACCTGCTGAGTGGTGGGTTGCGCCGACTCCGCCTTCTTTCCTGCAGCACGAGTCGCATCCAACAGCGCCTGGGCCGCCTTCGCCTGCTCGGAGCCGCCTCCCTTGATGACGGCCTCTAGCTGCTCCTCGAGGGCGGCCTGCTGCTGCAAGAGCTTGCCCTTGCCCTTACCCTTCGCTGCCTTAGGGCCCGCCCCTTCACCGTCACCCGCCTCAGGAGGAGGTAGGTTGCTGAAGGGCGCTCCACACAGGCACGTGTTCTGATACATCTGCAACTTACTCGTCCAAGCCCAGCGCGAGCACGCCGAGCACTTGACCTTCGAATCCTGCGTCTGCTGTGCCCCCTCGCGAGGCCTCCTCTGAGTCCCTGGCCATGGCGGAGGCGGCGGCACCATCCACGGCTGCTGAGCCACAGGGTGCCACGGTGCCCAACCGATACTGGAACTCGTTGGAGGCGCATGCTGCAAGCGCTGAGGCCCAGGTGGCCGAGGGAGGGGTGGCCACGGATCGCCATCCTGCACCTCCTGCATTTTCCGAGCCTGTCGCCACTTCTTGCTTTTGCCCATCGGGCTGACCGACTATTAGTGATCTGGATCCCCGAAACTCGGGGACTTCTGATCCCAGCCGAAACCGCTTGGAGATTGTCGGTGGCCACAAAAGCTCGCAGTGCACCTGAGCACGGCGAGCAGTCGGGGCCAAAACGGCTGGAGGAGGAGGAGGAGGAGGAGGAGGAGGAGGAGGAGGAGGAGGAGGGGGAGGAGGAGGAGGAGGAGGAGGAGGAGGACCATGCAAGACAAGGATCTGGAGGTTCCTGGGAGGCTTGGCCCGCCGGGCCCGCGGGGGCCTCTGAAGCTCACCAGACATCCGTCCGACGCCAAGCTGGCGAGAAGACAGGGAAGGGCTGAGCACACCCCTGCACACAGAGAGGGGCACTCATCCCGAGCCTCAGTAAACTTGCCGAGCTCTTCCTCGCACAGATCATGAAGACGGACCCCCTGCTTGCGTGGCAAAGGGCAGGATACTCCACGCCTGCCAACCTCACCATCCATGTGCGCTCAAGCTACACCTGCACGCGCAATTTCGAAGAAATCACCATGATAGCCAGAGCCATCAGTAAAAAGAACATCGTCATGTGAAAAAGAAGAACAGTCCGTTGACCCTCGCCATCAAAAAAACGGAGGTCTCAGTCTTCAGTAGGAGACGGGAGCCCGAGGGGCTCGAGGAGGAGCCGAGTGAGGAGGATAGAAGAGGGTCCCACCTCAAGGAACTGGACCAAAGCAAGGTTACCAAAGTACTCCTGCCTAGCGGCACGTGGGGCTTCATGCTCGCAAAGCAAGGCACGGTGCCAAATATAACCATCCTCATCACACAACGGGCACTTCCCTTCGACTGCATAGCCCCACTGCAGGAGCTTGTCGTCGCTAGGGTACGAACCACAAACAACTGGCCTATGTACAGAAATATCTACATATGTTCAGGCTGAGAAGAAAGAGACTTCGCCACCCGAATCATGAGCGGGAGCCAGAGTCCCTTCTCAAACACGCCTGTAGAGACGCTGAGAGGTTCAACAAACTTAGCCGCTTGCTCAGAAATCAGATCAAAGGTGAAGGTTTCGGCCACCTGCACTGGTGGCGATTCGGTGAGCACCCACTGTCTCTGGCGGGGATCGACGAGCGTAGCAGGCCCCTCCCACGTCCACCCCGCCCTCTCCAACCACAGAAGCATGGCCGAGGTGGGGCCGTTTGGCCCCGTGGAGCCGCGGCTTCCCACTGGACCCTCGAAGATCTAACCCCGCAGCATGGAAGGCCCTGCTCAAAACTCCTGGAGGCAGACAACCTCGGCGACGGGGCCCTCCATGAGGCCAAGGCTCGGAAGAACGCCACCACCCCCAAGCATACCGTCTGAGGGGTCCCGACGCAAGCCGAAGAGGGCCTCCGCGGTTCCCCGACGAGGCCCACTTCAGGTCCAGGTTGCACCCACGTCTGCGGATACCAAAGGTTCCGGCTCCAGCACGCCTCGGGGTAAGAATTTCATTCAGGGTAACGCATTGGACTCCCATCCCATACGAAACAATACATAAGACACCTCCCTTGAAACGCCTA